AGCCACAATTTTCGATGGATTTGCACCAAAATTTACATGCACATGCTCCAAGTTAGTGGCAAGGCCAAGACTGACTTTGCCTTTCCCAACTCCCATCGATAGTGGAAATAATTGATTTTTTCATGCTTCTATGGCAGTTTTCATGTAGTTTGCGGCCATTTTGTACTGGCCAGAGTGAGAGCCAATAGCTGGCTGCCACGAATAGGTAGGAAGATTCTATTGGCCAGCATGAGAGCCAACAGCTGACTGACACGAATGTTAACTAGCATGCTAGCATGCAAAAAAATTGATAGCTGCATTCGTCACAAGCGGGAAAAATTTAAATCTGCATGGCACTTTTCTCCAATTGGCTCATTCGCTTGCTTAAACTCAACACTGATTGATTCCACAGAACTGGGTTGGGTGTGAAAAAGTATTTGTTGTTAACATTCTTTTTTCATTCAGTTTTTCCAGTTATGAGTCCTTTTTTAAAGCTGATTATTTTGTGTTCATTTTGTTTAGTTCTTTTTTCGTAACAGATTTAATGTTTAGTATAGAGCTTAGAAAAAATTTGCAGTGTGAGATAGGCAAGAAGGCATGTAGCAACATCAGCACGGCAAAGAGCACTCCTTTAAGGGCAAAAAATATTTTAAGTCAAGTGATAGCGATTGCTGTATGAGTCATACGATTTTTGAATCAAGCATGGGCAATGCCAGGCCATGCTGCTAGTTACCAATATATCTAATTATATTTTATAAACAAATATTTAGATTACTAATGTGATTGAGTGGAGTGATGGCATGTATTTTCTTAGAATTTCTTGAATCTGGTCCTTTCCAAAATATTTTGCCAAAACAATCACCATAATTCTGATATATTGATGATGCACACAAAAAATTATTTTAAATTTTCAAGATCTATTTCACTTGTGTGCATGTGTAGTTGCATCAATGTAAAACTTTTCCCTTAAAATTGTTAATATATAAAAAAAATTTGAATATCGTTTTCCTATATATATATACACTGTTCTCTCTAAATATTTCTGGCAATTAAAGACAGATGGTAATTCACCTTTTATCACCTGGGATATTATAGCAAGAGCTAAAGCTTATAACAGGAAAGGAAATAGATGTAATTTATGTCTTATTGAAAAATTAGTTATCTTAAAACACTTAAATAACCTTACCTTATTAAACAAGAGAAATGAACTAATGATTTGTCTTTGTTATGACTGGTGCTACAAAATCACAAAGAACTTTGCCAAATATCAAAAGCCATATCACCTTGAACACTTTCAACAACAGCAAAAATAGTTAGCACATATGACTAGAAGAGAAAATAAGATATAATCAAGCTGTTAATTTCCTGCATAACCAAAAGCAAAAAGATTGGAAGGAAATTCCCATGAATATTACAAAGAGCTATAATATTGAGTGGACTTGAGAAGTCTAATTTCCGGAAAAACTGTTTTAATAAAAAGAGTTGATTAATTTCAACCAGTCATAACATTAACTAACCAGTCAATGTCTCCTGCTTTTAAATGGCTAGTTTTACCATTAAACTAAGAATATAATGTCTGTGGAAAAAAATCTAAGTTGAATGCGATCAAATACAACCCAACTCAGCTTGTAGATAAGACATCTATATAAATCTCTAGAGAAAAAGTTATTTGCATTATAGTGCAGTGGTAGATTAAAGTACAGACTTAGAGATCAACATTTAGCACCTGATTAGATCAATTTATAAGATAATTTTAAAATGTTGATTAGTTTATTTGATGGTATATAAAGCCCCTCATCCATTTACAGTTAATATTATAGTATTATGTAGTTAGAGTAAGTACAAACACTGGTAGTCTATGGCATTTGGACAAATATTAGTCTATATCTGTCTATGTTTCTGAGATGAGGTATTGTAACTCTTTACATTATTTACATTGCTCAGACTATTGTCCCCATCTTTAGTGTCATATTCACAACATTTCATCCATTGTACACTCTGGCCTTCTTCAGGTGATATATGTTGGAATTTTGAATTGAACTGTTTATTCTGCCTAGTTGATAAAAGTGTTTGTTGAAGTAATCCAGTAATTTGACCCAAAGAGTTAAGTGTTCAATACCTGACCACAGCAAGGATGAAAAAAAACTTGGAGAGTTGAGTTACTAAGGGGAAATAACTGAAACTGATATCCAGAAAAGGGCATGGCATGTGGAACTAGAACAATCTACCCCAGTGGACGAAATAAATGCTTTGCTTCAAAATTCCAAGGTATATTGCCTGAAACGTTGTGAATATGACAATAAAGATGAGGACAATAGCCCAAACAATATAAATAATGTAAATATGAGCCTACCAGATAATACAACTTAGCATATAAGACCTGGGAAATATTTTTAAACCAATTATGAGAAAAAAATTAAAAGAGACTGATATGTCATAAAATATGGTAAATGTTTGGCCAAATAATTTTTTCATTTCCTGAATTTGTTGATCGAGAATGAGAAATGTGATCATAAAAAACAGAAAAAATAAGTATTTTTTGAAAGTATATCTTAGTTTTAAGAAATGGGTAGATTAACAGATAACAGTAATGAAAATGGAATCAGTGAGCAGAGTTCAAATTCTAGCTAAGACAGTTTGTATTTACTTTGCACACATGCACTTGGAAAAGGCATGAATCCATGTCCTTTCCTTTCAAGCCATGAGTAAAATAGCAGTTTAGACCAGGTTCTATAAATTTGGTTGGAGAAAGACAATTTTGAATTGAAAACAGTGGAGAAGGCAACTGGAAACAATTCTAAGGAACAATCATGGCAGTGCACAGTTTACAGATAATTAAAAAAAGAAAACCAAAGAAAAGTGTGGAGGACCATGTCTGCCTATGTCCTGAAGGAAGACCTTGTTTTCAGAGCATTTTATGGACATTTGTCTGATTTGCTGTTTTATATCAACTTCTCCAAACATTTTCAAAACAAATGTGAGAACACCAGAATTAACCAAAAAACACAATCCTAGAAAACCATTGTAGCAACATTCAAAATTACTCAAGGGAAAAAAATAATATAAAATAAAAAATAGATATGAATTTTGGTAAACTTACTGATTACATAAATCAACTAATTTGGAAATTTGAAAAAGTTAAAAATTTGATTAGACAAAACTTTTTTGATATTGTAAGGATACAGAAGACACTTATCTACCTTTGCTGGAGATAAGTCGCATGACAGCCGCTTTATGTTGTCACTCCATACAGTGACTAAAGTGGCAGCCATCTTTCAGTTCATTGACACCAACCAAACAAGAAGGTTGCTTTCTTTTAGCATAGGCCCTTTGGTGGTGCCGATTCCATTTGGGACATAGATTAATCTGGCCCATTTAAATCTGGAGTCTTAAAAATGACTCCTCCAGGTCAGGAATATCTCCAAATTATATGTAAGATCCCTTTCTTTTTGTTCCTCCTTATACTTTGCTGTGTAGATATTTGTGATATATTGTTCTCTATATGGGATATATATATATATATATATATATATAGTTTTGTGTATATCATAGTATATAAAATATCTCTCTGAGAACAAAGCATGTGTGACATTCTTTTTCCTTTCAGCCTTTCCATTCTGTCTGTGAGCTACAGTATTGTTATATCCTGTATATGACAATGCCCATAAACAGGAGAATAAATCTTTCTTCCAAGCCCATTCGTGACAATATTATTCAGCCAAACATGTTTGAAAAAGAATATATATTACTATTAAATAAGAAAAATGAAATAATAGGTAAATGTAGGCATATAATATAAAAACTTATTTATGTCACCATTTAAGCATAAAAAAGAAGAAAGAACATTTAAACAAGAAATAAATAAAAAATGGAATACACCTATCTTTTACAAACTTAAGAAAACCCCATAATATTTGAGAAAAGATTTTTAAGAAGTCCTTATGATGACACCAGAAATGACATTGTTACATTATCTTTGATACTCAGAGCTAAAAGGGAGAAAAAAAATAAGGAAAATGAATAGGGAGTGAGTATAAGGAGAGAAGAAAACGATAAAAAGAAGAAATAACCATGACATTCTACACATGTGCATATACACACACACATAGTGAAGAAATCTAGCACCAATAAAAAGAACATAAATTATTTTTAACTTTATATAAAAATAGCGAAAATGAGAAAATCAGCAGTCAATTGCTGATACCTCCTAATGAGTGGACTGATTGATTTTAAAAAAGGTTTGTCAATAAAACTCTGGGGTAAAGGTGCTCACTTGTCGTGGACAACAAATGAGGGCTCAGTAAAATAAAGAGGTTCCCAACTTTTATGGACACACATGTGTCTCCCAAGATCCACAGGTGTTTTGCAAACTTTTAGACAGATGGAACATGTGGTTTCAGTCATTTTGCTTGAATGGTTGAGGATCAATTGCACATGTCTCCATGAGTGGACAGCAAAACTTGCTTTACTGTGTGTGTGTGTATATATATATATATATATATATATATATATATATATATATATATATATATATAATAAAACAGCATCTGTATTGAAGTTTTATAGTTTTAATGTAATGGAGTAACACTTATAGACATCATTTTTTTTCATTTAAGGTTGGCTTCAATATCTTTGCCAATCATTAATGCTTAGCTATATCATCTTTTGTCATGCATTTGTATAACACTCCTCAGTGGGTTTGGTCAGTATAAACACTTGGGTTCAAAGCTGATAATTACTTGCCAGTCATTTTCACTTAACTGACAACTGATAAAAAAAAAAGAAAGAGAGAGAGAGAGAATTACTGAAACTCTGCTATTTGCTATAATTACTATTGGGACAATTGTTACTATCTCACTTGTTAATCAATAGATGCAATAAGAGATCATTAAAAGAATATTGAGAAGTACAGTTCTGATTAGAGAATATCTCTTTGTATAATGTCAAAAGAATATTATCCTTGCAAGTTCTTTCTTTTTAAGTTTTAAGTCTTTTGTTTATTTTGCCAAGAATAAACCAACCTGTTGTATCCCAGGAAGATGTTGCAAAAACCTTCGCTTTGTAGCAGTAACAGCAACTAGTGATTGTCATAGTGTGAGCCCTGAAATTATATAATTTTTTAAAATGAATATTCATTCAATTCAAGGCTCAAAAGCTACTCAATGTAGAGGGTACTGTTAATAATGGATGTGGTGCAATATATATATATATTTTAAAATTACATGCATTGAATACTGCTGCCATATCTGGTCTGCCCCTGTTATTCATCTTGAGGTTCTTGACAAAATCTAAAGAAGGATCAGCAATGTAATTGATCCTGATTTGCCATCTCGACTTTCTCACCAACATGGTATGGCTTCTCTGTCTTTTCTACAAATATTTTCATGACAACTGCTCTGATGAGCTTTTTTCCCTAGTGCCCTGACTTCATGAATTTAAGCATGCTACTAGATTGGCATCTAGGTCCCACCTGTTTACTGTTAAAACTGTTAAATTGAACCGCCACTTCTACTCTAACCGTCTCTTTTCTCATACTTTTCGCCTGTGGAACTCCATTTCATTTATTTGCTTCCCTGATAAATACAATCTTCAAAAATTTAAATGCAACATCAATTGCTATCTTCTGTCTTCTGAATCCCATTCATCTTTTGTCCTTTCCTCAATCCTCGCTAAACTCAGTCTTTTCTCTCATTTTCATTCTCTGTAACCCCCTGCATACTAGTGGCTTTCCTGCCTTGCTTGGGGTGAAATGATAAAAAAATCTCACCAACCTCCCACCCTCACCTCAAGCAAAGTGATAATGCCACTAAGATGCAATGGGCTACTGGGAGTGAAAGAGAATGAGAAGAAACCCAATTCTGAACAGGAAACAAGGGACAAAGCTCCACTCCTGCTCAAAAGATTAGGGAGGAATGTGTTGTGCCTCTTACATTTCTAAAAGGCTCAAAAACTACTCAATGTAGAAGGTACTGTTAATCATGAATGAGGTCTGGTATGTACTTGAGTCTCAATAGATATTCAAAACATGAAACCTCTTTGAGAGTGAAATAATTCCTCATGACTAGAGAAAACTCAGGGTCTAATCAGTGATGATAAAACAATACTAGCTTGGGTTTTGAAATATTAAAAGTTATAATCCAATTTTTGCCCCTTCCCATTGAGCTGTTAAAGCCAGTTCAGAGGAGAGATCAGCTGCAAGGCTCCAATCATCTTATTTTTTGGATATGCATCGATAAACTGTGGTATCATTTATATAGATGTTTACTTATGATCTGAGAATGTTATGAGGTAGATTATTTATAAACATCAGAGAGAGCATAGCATCAAGGAAAGAGGGTTGGGGCATTCTTGCCTTGATTTCACAAGCTTCAGAAACCTGGCTGTTAATCTATGTGAGCTATCTCCCCTGAAAACTCTCCCTGCTGGGGAAAGGATTTCCGGTCGGAAGTCGGGGCGGCGGCCATGTTTGTTTATACTGTGTAGTTAGTGAGGAGTCGAATAAAATATTCTCTCCGTATCCGTTGTCGAAGTCTGTCATTCACATGTTTATATTTTTCTTTATGCACCTTGACAGTCTTTTATTTTTATACTAACATTGGTAGCAGAGCATAGTTATGGCTTCAAAGCACATTTCACCGCCCGTCTTAGTTAAAGACAAGTACAGCACGTGGAAAAAAGAAATGCAAATCTGGGAAATGGCCACGTCGCTTGACAAAACAAAACGCGCCCCCATAGTATTTCTTTCACTGGAAGGAAAACCCAGAGAAGCTGTATTGGAATTGGATGTTGCGGCACTTAATTCTGAGGATGGAATGGCTAAACTGTATGAAAAAATTGGACACGCTTTTTTTTGGAAGATATAAACCAGTCAGCCTTTCTGGCCTACGAGACTTTCGAAGGATACCGGAGACAGCCTGAAACATCAGTGGAAGACTTTCTCATCAACTTCGGCCGACACGTTGCTAAGTTGAAAGATTTCAACATCATCCTGCCTGAACCGGTACTTGCATTCAGGGCATTAAAGAGTGCTTCCCTCAACCCTGAAAATGAAAGACTAGTCAAGGCGACTGTCGGCGAACTGACACTCTCTTCCATGTCGGCACAATTAAAGAAGATTATGCATAGACAGCCGTCTGAAGCTTCATCTATGAACTCTACACCCGTAGTGGTTAAAAAGGAAGATGTTATTGTCTTTACTGAAAATAAAAACGAACCTAGCGAGGTATACTATGGTCGCTCTCTTCCCACCGCCGTGATTCGCATTTTAATAGTCGGCGAGGAAAAACATACAGCCGGTGGAAAACGACATAGCAACAACAACAACAAAACACGCTCCACTGACAAAAACAAAATAAACCCGCTAGGACCTGAAGGCAACCCCCACTGTGTGCTTTAAATGTGGCTGCAAATTTCACTGGTCTTACGACTGCCCTTATGTCGACGATACCGGGACAAACATGAGGACGACGAACACGAAAGTTATCTGTATCTGGCTAACATTGTGCTGATGAGTCAGCAAAAACGCGAGGCAAATGGCAACACACTTTTGGGTGAGACACTTGGTTCCGCTGTCCTAGATAGTGGTGCATCTGGCACCGTTTGTGGAAAAAAAATGGTATGAATGTTTTCTCGAAACATTAACTGATGCACAGAAAAAAAAATAATTATGAGGAAAGGGTGAGAACTTTTAAGTTCAGGGATGGAAACAAGCTGGACTCTCTCTACAATGTGACTCTACCATGTGTCATCGCAGACATTGACGTCAATATTGTTACCGATGTTGTGGATTCTGACATTCCACTTCTCTTAAGCAAAGATGCAATGAAAAGAGCTGGAACCTGTCTCAATTTTGAACATGGCAGTGTGACGATGTTTAAAAAGAAAATTCCATTGAGATGCACATCGTCTGGTCATTATCACATCCCTATCACCAGACCCCTACCAGATAGAGGTAAGCTCAAACACATTCTTCTTGTTAAAGAAATCTCCTCTAAAAACAAATCAGAAAAAGTGAAAGTTGCAACCAAATTACATAGACAATTTAGTCATCCCAGTAGTAAGAAATTATGTGATTTAGTTAGAAATGCTGGAATAAGAGATCCTGAATTTATGAAAATCTTACAAGCACTTCCAAATTCCTGTGAAAGTGTGTATTCGCTATAAAAAAAAAACGAACCTAGACCTATTGTTGGATTCCCATTAGGATCTTATTTTAATGAAACTGTTGCTATGGATATTAAAGAGATTAATGGTAACAAGGTACTGCACTTGATTGACCATGCTACCAGATACAGTGTCGGCGTTAGGATTCCAAGTAAAGAAAGATCGGACATCATCAGTGCTATATTTAAACACTGGATAGCGTATTTTGGGACTCCTGGATCTATCTTAACTGATAATGGTAGGGAATTTGATAACGAATCATTCCGTGACATGGCACAGAATTTAAATATCGTTGTGCGTACCACTGCTGCTGAAAGTCCATGGAGTAATGGCTTAAATGAACGACACAATGGGATATTGGGAGAAATGGTCAAAAAGACTGTAGAGGACACAAATTGTAGTTTTGAGATAGCACTAGCATGGGCTATAAGTGCAAAGAATACACTTCACAGTGCTCACGGATTCAGCCCCAATCAGCTTGTTTTTGGTAGGAATCCCAATCTGCCCTCCTTTTTGAATGATAAACTCCCTGCATTAGAAGGTGTCTCTACCAGTGAGATTGTTGCCAGTAACCTCAATGCCATGCATGCAGCTAGAAAACAATTTATTATGTGTGAGTCTTGGAAAAATTAAGACGTGCACTTCGTCATCAAGTTAGGACTAGTACAACACAATCCTACAAAAATGGTGATGTTGTTTTCTATAAGAGAAATTTCTGTGATAGATGGCTCGGTCCAGGAACTGTCATAGGGTGGGAGCACAAGCAGGTACTTGTTAAACATGGGGGCACATATGTAAGAGTGCACCCATGTCGCCTCGTGTCTCACCCAGAAACATATCAAAGTTCCTCTGAAAGTGAGGCTATAAGTGAATCCACCACTTCACAAAGTGAGCCTGAAGGATCTTCAAACTTATCAATGTCTGACGAAAACGATGTTGCTGAAGAACCAGGAACTCTGAATGATCATGTTGCACAACATCAGACTGTGAGAGAGGCACACGTACTACCAAAGCAAAATCCAATTCACAAAACAATTACGCTTCCCAAGCCAGGACAATCCATTAAATGCAAACTTGCCAATGATGATGATTCGGAATGGCGAACATTGAACGTCATAAGTAGGGCAGGCAAAGCTACAGGTAAAAACAAGCATTTAATGAATGTGGCTATGGAACAAGGTGAACCCTTCTGGCTAGACTTCAATCATGGAGTATTGGAATGGAAAGAAAATGAAGCCAGACCAATAAATAAGGATGAAGCTACCTCTAGTGATGAGGAAAACATTATGATTTCTTCTTCTAATCACGACCTGGAAATGGCAAGAGAAAACGAACTCCAAAGCTGGGTTGAAAATAAAGTTTACACCCAAGTGCCTGACCAAGGCCAATGCAAAATATCCACAAGATGGGTTTATACTAATAAAAATGTCAATGGCAAACAGATCTATAAAGCTAGACTTGTGGCGAGAGGCTTTCAGGAAAGGGATGCGGGCAATATAAGAAATGATTCTCCAACATGCTCTAAAGAAAGTCTACGTATAGCCTTGGCTATAATGGCATCTAACCATTGGGTGTGCAAGTCAATGGACATAAAAACAGCATTTTTACAGAGCAAAGAGTTGGACCGATTGATCTATTTGCATCCTCCCAAAGAAGCCAAGGTACCTCCAGGATATATTTGGAAACTCTCCAAATGTGTATATGGTTTGACTGATGCATCAAGGTCCTGGTACCTGACACTCAAAGAGGAATTGTTGAAGTCAGGAGCAGTCGTTTCAAAATATGATCAAGCCATATTTACATGGAACTTTGGAAACAAACTGCATGGTATTATGGCTACTCATGTTGATGATTTTTGCTTTGCAGGCTCGGAGATTTTTCAGAGCAGAGTCATGGACAGGATTCGTCACTTGTTTAGGATCAAATCTGAGGAAGTTGCTGAGTTCCAGTATATAGGATTAAGCATAAAGAAAACTGGGAATGATGTTAAACTTGGACAGGACGAATATGTCAAAAAGCTAAGGTGTATCCCACTAGAACCAGGCAGAAATTTGAAAGATGCAATATCTTCAACAGAGGTTACTGAAACCAGGTAACTGATCGGACAACTTAATTGGTTAGCCACCCAAACCAGACCTGATCTTAGTTATGATGTTAGTGAGTTAAGCTTGATACTAAAACAAGAAAATGTAGAATGTTTAAAACAGGCTAACAGGGTGGTAAAAAAAGCAAAAAGGAGAAATCTCATATAGATATTCCAGACTTAGGGAACCTTGAGCACCTAAAAATTGTTGCATACAGTGATGCTTCTTTTGGCAATTTAACAGATGGAGGTTCACAGGGAGGCTATATACTTTTTTAGTTGGAAGCAATGACAAGTATATGCCCATTGCCTGGCAGTCTAAGCGTATTAGAAGAGTTGTCAAAAGTACTTTAGCTGCTGAAACTTTAGCCATGGTTGACATGGCAGAAGCCTGTATTTTTTATCGGAAACTTTTTGTTAGAAATACTACAATTGAACGATGATACTAACAACATTAAGATCTTCTGCAAAACAGACAATTCCTGTCTCTATGATTCTGTACATTCCTCAACCCAAATTTTGGATAAGAGACTTCGCATAGAGATGGCTATTTTGAGAGAAATGATTGACAGAAAGGAAATTGCAGAGATCTCTTGGATATCAACTGATGTACAAATTGCTGACTCCTTGACAAAGAAAGGAGTGCCATCATTCAAGATCCTTGGGTTCATATCCGAACCAAAGGAATCATCTGTATAATGTAAATACCTGGCCCCTTTTTTTCTTTTGCAGATTAGATGATTCCAAACTGAAAAGAGAAAAGAGGGAAGAACTGTTAATCTATGTGAGCTATCTCCCTGAAAACTCTCCCTGCCGGGAAAGGATTTTCGGTCGGAAGTCGGGCGGCGGCCATGTTTGTTTATACTGTGTAGTTAGTGAGGAGTCGAATAAAATATTCTCTCCGTATCCGTTGTCGAAGTCCATCATTCACATGTTTATATTTTTCTTTATGCACCTTGACAGTCCTTTATTTTTATACTAACACTGGCCATTCGCAATGACTTTCATGGACCTTCCCGAGAGAAAGGACTTGAACATTAAAATAAAAAATACTATAAAACATTTGAGCTTACTTTTAGCTGTTAACTTCTGTTTTATTATGTTTAAAAAAAAAATGAAGATTATAAAATTGATGATCAAAACAAAAGTACACAGAAATTTACTCACTGTTCAAAATGGTGTAATAACTTCCCGGACATATTGTATACATGAACTGACATTTCAGAACAACAGTATAAATGTTTCATTGATGGATTAACTTGAATTTTTTGGACCCAGCTTCCTCCCACCTTAGGGAGGGTGGTTCTGAAAGTAAATAACAGCCAAATATAAGTTTAATAATGGTATCAAATATAATAAACTCATTTGAGGTATTAAATAGATATAATTCCCTTTTCTATAGTGCTCTGTTTATTCAAACATAAAAATGGGGAGATAAAGATGAGTCAAACAATTGATTTATTTATTCATTCATTTTCTATAGCTTATCAATCTTTTGTAGTTTATTTAATGTCAGAAAATATTTTTATATTGTAAGAATTTTTTTGAGATAATAATGATTTAATGATACAACTCTTACTAATTAACCCACAACTGGGGAGAGAAGAGGTGGATTCATACCTTTCCTAAGGGTATTTGCATATAAGTGAATATAATGAATCCAACTGGAATTGGAACTTGTCTCTCAGATTAACAATTCTGAGCCATTATCCATTACACCACCTGCACATCCAAGCTTACTGCCCCTGGTATTCCAAAGCAGTCATCCATTCAGATACTGACCAGGCTAGATGCTGCTTAACTTCAGTGATTATACGGGAACTGGTGTTTCAACATGATATGGCTGTACGTCCGAGTTGAACAAGTTTCCTGAATTCTAATTGATCATTTCCAACAGTGTGACTTGAAGTCCTCCTCATACACAGGAATACTCTTCATAAAAATTCTATCTTGCCACTTTGAGATATATTAGGATTTCACATATCAGTTTTTAAATATATTTATGTAAATATTAATGTTACACTGCTTTGTTTTAGAAAATCATCCTTGTCATCTCCAGGTTTCATAAATATCTTGATTCTACTGTTTCATGGTATCATCAGTTCAATGGAGATAAGTATAGTACAGAAAAAATTACAAACAAAAAATATATATTCCCACACAGACAAGTTTCATTGAAGACAACTAACAAAGCACTATAATTAAGCTTTTTATTAATTTTTTTTCTTCTTGCAATGATTTCTTTTCTGGATATACTTGTGTAAAAACTGTCTAAATGATCTATAAATATTGTTTTAAATAAACAGAGCATCTACTCAAGTATGGGCATCCACTAAAAATAATGTTTGAAATAATAAAAATATATCAGATTAGAAAATAAAACCCATTAATTCTTTTGTATAATAAAATAGCAGCTTGTAAGAAACTTTGCTATGGAGGCACACTGAAGAATGAATGCTCGGTGATATAATAATTGGCAAAGCCTTAATGTATATTAAATTAAATTTGCAATGAGCAGTGACCAACTATGGTGAACAGCTTTATGTTTTCACACAATCATAAGGCAGTCAGTACCAGTTATGTGTGTAAATGAGCACTTTATACTTCTCAGACAAGTCCAAAATGGTAAAAGTATAGTTGATGTGTGCATAACATGCATATACTAACTAAACTCACTGATGAGCCAGGATGAAAAAGGCATAAATTCATGATTATTTTGAACACAAAAATTATATATATATATATATATATATATATATATATATATATATGAGAAAGAGAGAAAGATTAAGGCTAAAGTTATGTAAATTAAATAAAAGGATTTAACATGGTGTTGCCTAAAAGCAGAAGAGGAATAAGGGATACAAAAAATGGGTCCGATAAAGTTGAAATGTTGCTTATAAATGTGCTGTTCCAGAAGTGAAAAACTCATTAAAAAAACATTATTCCATCACAATAAATTATATATTATATATCAGTATAGAAAAAAATCTGAGAAAATTTCATACTGCAATCATATTTTTTTTTTGTTTTTTATTAAATGAAGTCCTTACAATTTTTTTTTTTCTGTAAATGGTTTCACCATTTTTTTTTTTTTTTTGCATGTCTTAATATTTATATGCACCCATATGAATGATGCATGTGTGGATAGTATAATTTTTTTATTAGTACAGATAATGGAATCAGTAAACATAGCTGAAAATTCCAGCTGAAGTCTTTGTGTTTACATTGCAATGATGCCCATGGAAATTAAAAAAAAGCATAAAGCGATTTGTTGAACCCATAACTATAGATTAAAATAGCAGAATCGGTTAGGCTCTTTAGCCATAGTTGACAACTAGTCTAGAAGATCGATAATTCAAACACCTTGCCAACACATCATGAGCCAGCTTAGCAGAATATGGTTTTATATATATATATATATCCCATGTCTGACAGACTTGGGGAAAGTTTGAGGCCTGCAGAGTGAAATAAATCAAACAATAACTAAAAATGAATATTCCTCAACAGATTACCCACCATTGTGAATGCAAATTTGGAACAATTTAGGAAAACTGATTAGCATCTTTACACATTTCAGGTCTTATTGGACATGCCTATTTTTTAATGAAATTCTTTAAATTCTGTAGTGCTTTTCAATATGGTCCCAAACAAAAATATCTAAAAGGTGCAATATCGGAGGATTTTCCTGTCCAAATTTATGGTTCTATTTTTTGCAAGTGAGTGATTTGGGAGTTCTCTATCAGAAAAAAAAACCTCTGATAACATGACATGCCAGTTGTCTGCTGATGGAACAATATAGTGGAATTAACTTGTAAATTCTGAGTTAGGCAGAATTAATAGGTACTACAGTGATTTTCATAGACTATGTACCTTAAGGTTGGACATTCAAATTAAGGCAGGATTTACTTGTTAATTTTGGATATCTGCTTGTGGAAATTACAAATGGAGAAACAAAGAAATATACAGAAGAATTCACACATATCATTGTTATTTAATTATTTTCATTTTAAGTATCTTAATCTTTGTTATATTTATCACAATATTTCTGCCAAAGAAAAATATTGGCTAAAATGCAATAAAGCCAAAAAATATGAGGTGATTAGATTAAAAATTAATGGAATAATGAAAATGCTTAACATTGGAACTTCAGATAACATTTGTTCAATCAATGTCTTTTGCAATATCCTGTAAAATACAAGATAAAAATAATCATTTTTATTAAATTAAAAATAAGCAAAAACTAAAACAAAATGCTGACTCAATATGAACCCAAATTATAAATTATGTGAATACCATATACTGGAAGAAAATGAATGTGCACCAGACCATCTTAAATTCTCTCTCAAACATCTTCAATAAAATATAAAAAACTAAATCTTCTGATAATTTTCTGGTCATCCCACTTTATTGATCTTTCAACAAAGCCTTTTTGTTAGTTTTTCAAAACATTCCCTAGCTGCACTATAAAACTCAAAATGGCTGATAGTTATTTAATCAAATAAATTATCTAAAAATTAATTAGGCACATAAAAGTTTTCTATTTGATCTCCTTTTCATTCAAATAAAATTGATGCAAATTAGATTCAACATCAATATTATTGAATTAAATGAGTTTATAATTGCTTATTAATCAAGTAGTGTAATAATGATGATGTTTTAAAAGGCCTAAATGACAGAATCCTTAAATATAATGACACACACACACATATATATATGTTGTAACCTAGAAAAGGTTACTGTTATATTCCATGCTAATAGAAATATGGAATGGACAAACACGGTGGATAAATAGTAACAGGTTTATTGTAGAAACCAGTATAACAAGCAAAGAAGTAATAGTCATGTGCACGGTCGTCGCAAGTCAGTACAGTTGTATCGGAAGGCCACTAGTCTCGCAGATCCCAGCTCGACTCTCCTATCTGCTGTCCTCATGGATACTTATAGGTGCTTACCACCAATAATGCCACCACTCATGGGGGTGGCAGGTTATTCCATCACATCAGTTATCGAATGTGGAATAACCAAAATAGAGGGTGGAAATGAAATGGTAATCTTTATAACACCAACAAAATACAGTACTTGCCAGCAGTGTGAAGTAGGTAAACCACTGCTAGTGGTGGAATACTTAAACAGTATATTACCCCCACTTACAATAGTGTCCAATGTATTTATGAGGATTGGGACATACCCATTAGTGTTCATAAGTACGGTATATAACAATATATATTTAAATATATTTTTGTGTGTAACAATTGAGGGGAAACATGCAAAATTTTGACACGAGACGCACAGAAGAACCCCATTCATGTCTATATGCAAAAAGCTACCATGCTGAAAACTACAAAGAGACCACCCCAAAACAATGGTGATACAGCTCACAATAAGAACTAAATTCTATCTCTTGTATCTCCCATTACTACTAAAAACACACACACACACACACATTATGACCCAACTGCACAAATTCAAGTTATATTTATTTTGGAAAAGAAAAAAGAAACATATAATAACATTTCCCTGGTCTTCACATATGTAAATATATTATATTTATTTATTTATTCCTAACTGGCCCTAAAAAGGAAATAAAATACAGTTAAATTTGTAAAATAAATATTCAACATGACTAATGTTGCCTGTAACTCATGTCTGTCTCTCATAATTTTTATTTAACTTTTTTTTTCTTTCCAAAAACAAATATAACTTGAATTTGGGCAGGTGGGTCATTGCTATTTTTCACATTTCTGTTCAATCATTACACGAAAAAAAATTGTTTTTGCATTAAACAAAAATTACTTACAATATAATACATATTACTTATAATACATTCCTTCATGCTGTTAGTTTTGATGGCACAGTTACACCAGTATTAATATAAAAAGTATCTCATACTGATTTAGACTTAAAGATATAACATTTATGTTTACTATAAATTAAATAAATGCATGAAATGACAATAAATAGATCTGTTGAATTTATCAATTTTTCGTTTGAGAAGTACTTAAAACAGAAACATAATTTTAACACATATCCAAAAGCATCAGTTTACCCCCACCCCTATTTGTGACCATTTTGCTTAAAGGTCCTATTTTCTTGATTTTAGATGAAAATGTGGAAATTTTCCAAAATATTTCAGTGAAATTTGCACTTTCCAAAATTATAGTTTAGATATAAAAAAGAATGTCAATTTAAACTGATATCAAAAGAACTTAACCCATATCTTTCTATTGTCAGATTAAACTGATGCCTTCTTTTTATAGACTGTAATCATTTTGCTTAAAGTTCATATTTTTTTTTGATTTTAGATGAAAACTTAGAAATTATTCAACATATTTCAGTGAAATTCTCACTTTCAAAAACTATATTTCATAAATATTGTTTAAATATAGGGGAAAAGAAAGTGTTTAAATTGACTGCAGGAGGATATGATTTAAACTGATACCTTCTTTTTTTTTTCATATTTTATGATCACATTTATTTGATTCCAGTTGAAGACTTGGAAATTTTCCAACCTATTTCAGTAAAGTTTTCACTTTACAAAATTATACTTTACTATTATAGTTTTAGATATACTAGTAAAAAAAAAGTGTCAATTTAAACTGGCACCAGGATAGAAGATTTTAGAAAATTTTACTAATTTCATTGTAATAACATTGACCTACATAATGAATTCTGATATAGAATATAGATAATATAGTCTGTAGAGTTGTGTAATATTGATTAGTGATAACAGGTATGAAAGACAGAATTGGCAAAATCAATTCAAATTTTCAATAAAGCGACTTTTATTAAGGTAGCACTAATGCTTTTGGAAAAGGCAGGAACCCATATTTATGCACTCTGTCCCACTGAGAGATATCTTAGCAAAAATATTTTGTCTCTGGCATACAGAGATAATTGATGGAAAAAAGTGGGTGATTAAGCAATTAGGCAAACCTGTCTCCATTAATGAGTGCTCAGGCTGTATTAATTGGAAATAATTATTACACTCATTGTCAACAGGAGGCATATATATATATATATATATATATATATATATATATATATATATATATATATATATACACACTCTCCCCCATCTCTATTTTCTTTTCCTTTCTTCTCTCTTGCATTCTCTTCCTCCTGTTAATCTAGTATATCAGTTCAGATGCATTGTTTTCATTTATTAAGAACTTTCAGTCTGAAGAGATGAATATGTAGAAATATTCACAAAATAAATTATAACCAATATGGATCTTTAAGGTCTTGATTTATAATATATATATATATATATATATATATATATATATATATATATATAATTTTTCATATAGACAAAAACAATTTACTCACTACAAAGATGCAACTTCATTTTGGTGCATTTAATTGCACTTTGACTGGTGAGAACCAAAATGGTTATGAACAATTCTGTTTGTAAGCAAGCTGCATGTGAAATGTCACTTTCTATTTTTTTTTTTAGTAAATTGCTTTTTGTCTATATGAAAAAATTATAATAAATAATTATTGTTCTACTATTGGTATTGAGCCCTCTTTTGAATTAATGCTGTGAACATTAGAATATATATATTATTTTCATTCTCATTACATTCGGATATATATATATATATATATATATATATATATATATATATATATATAAGATAAAGAATGTATAGGAAGCATTTATCAATCTAACATGTTTCACTTTTACTAAAGCTTCATCACAAAATGAGATATGGTGAAAAAGAAGAAAGAAATTCTGGAATTTTTATTTTTGCCTTTTCCATTAGTCAATCAGGTTTTGCATGCATTTGACTTGTTAAACAAATGTTAGTATAATTTATGGCATTCCAAATTCAAGAAGAGATGACAGGTCCTTTTCCAAGAAATTAACAGATTTCAAACCGAACTGAAAAAAACATAAATATTGCTTTATGTATGTAATTGCATCATAATTCTAGTTTGTCTATGTGGCATTCAGATGATAATGTATATTCGTAAGTGTGACATGGACAGCAGAATGAGAACAATCTACTCCCACAGATTAAATAAAGGGCTCAGTTCAAAATTCCTTGAAAGTTTCCCACATCAACAGATGACAGAAGTAGGCTGAGGGGCACAATGGCTAAAATGTTGTGATAATAACAAAGACAAGGACATTAGTTTAACTTTACATAATGTAAATACATAAGCTCTATATTGTGCACTGAAAAATATCAATAAAAAATGGATTGTCAGTGGTCAGGAATTAAAGTAACCATGACTGACAGAATAAAGTTAATATGTACATAACTCTACTGATTTTGTTAATTTGTGTGTTTATATTTCCTTTTAGAAGTGTATACCATTTATAACTTGTAGGATGTATGGCAGGAGACTTTATATTCATTTAATAACCAAATTTTATATTTTGGGTTGAGGGCTTACCTAATCTAGTCTGCCAGGAGACTTTACTTAATGCCCATTGGGTGATATTATATAAAGTGGTATAAAAGGAAAAGGCACAAACCCCTTTCTCCCTTCTTTCTCTTTTTATCCACAGGATGCTATTGTGACAGTTTCTCATTTCTCCTCTGGATAACTTTTTAGTTCCCATGCATGCATGTTGCATACAGCACACTACATTATCTCTTGTTAAAAAAATTAATTTGACTGCAATAATATCTCCACAACAACCTATCACATAAGTATATATCACCATTCAATACAACTGATTGATTGATTCATTTCCTATCACTTATCGATCGTTTGTAGGTTATTTAAAGTCAGAAAATATTTTTTACATTGTAAGAATGTTTTTTTTGGACATAATAATGACTTAGTGATACAAGTCTTACTCATTGACGAATAGCTTGGAGAGAAGAGATGGATTCATACCTTTCCCAAAGGTATTTGTGCATGAATATAATGAACCCAATGGGAATTGGAACTCTGCTCCCTGACTAACAATTCCAAGCCATTATCCATTATACCACCTGCACATTCAAGCTTACATCACCTGGTATTCACAAGCGGTCACCTATCTTCAGTGATCATACAGGAACCAGTGTTTCAACATGATACAGCTCTAAGCTAAATTCAATACAAAAAAATATGCCAGTTTGACAAACAAGACAATACTGCTACAAACTAGACTCCTGTAACAAACTAGTAACCTAATGCCATTACAAGTTTTTTCAAAGAAACATATTATCAGTCATTTTCTCACTAACAGAATGTTGTGGAGTTATTTCGCAGTGGAGGCTTGTATTTGTACTAAATCGGTCCTAAATAGGTTCGATGTACAAAATGTTAGGAACTTGATATAATAGGTATTACACAGAGTAATCTTGTTGTGGTCGCTGACTACTTTCGTATTCGACTGCTGTCGTCCGACATCGACTGACCCTCGTTTCTCTTACTACTCCTACTTATATTAGGTGGGAGAGTCTATTAACTATAGAATAGGTGTGTTTCACCATAACACAGGGGAAGCTCGGTAATTCATTGAAGGAGGTTTCTTTCTCTCCGTTTCTGAGCTATGTTACACCTAGTTCTGTAAATACCATATATTTTCATATATAAAGCAACCTTTAGATAAGACAAAGTCAAAAAATATAACAAATTTCTATGAATTTATCCTATACCTATAGTATAAGACAACTGTTTATTGATTATATAAGGATGATATTATTGGAAATGTTGTTACTGTATCCTAAGAAATTCAAAATAAACAAAAAACAAAACTGACTCCATATCATGTTTTTCCTACACACATCTCCTAGAAAGGAAACCATTGTTTTGTTTACATTTCATCACATGATCTCTTGCAAATACTTATTATTATTCTTCCTCTTCTTTTCCTATATCTAAACAATTACAAACAGCCTGGTGTACTAATGGCCATTTACTTATACTTCACAAAATATCGCTAATAACAGATGATAATGTACAATTATAGTACATTCCATTGCTATGAACTCAATCATAACTCAATATTTACATTTTCTCAGCTGAGCCTGAATGGATACAAGTTGATTTCATTGATATGGAATTATTCTTTGAACAGTCAATTTATTTTGAAGTTATGCCAATAATATATAAAGTAGAAATGGTTTTATTACTTTTATTATCAGGTTATTTGATAATGTGAATCTTTTCATGTACGTTCTTGGTTATGACACCGAGGCTGAGATTAGACTACTGACAAACATCACTCAGAATTTAAGGTTTCTTTTTTAGAATTGTAGTATAAGACAACCCCCAATTTTTAAGGGTGATTTGGGGGATTTAAAGGGTGTCTTATATGCGGAAATATAGGGTATATATAAAATCTATGCAAGTGTTGAATTCAATTATTTTGAGGAAATTTTTGACCAAATGCTGTAACAGGATTAGTATTGATTTATTTTTATTTATTTCGAGACAATGCTTTCTGATCCAAGTTTTTCTTGAGAGGTTAAATTTTATCAAGGAATATATTTATATATAAGCAAAAAGAACAACAAATATAGAGATCAAAATAAATGTTGATATTTTTACTTTCGGCTGAGTCGGTAGTTTGAGAGGTGTTTGATCTCATTAAACATTTCAGCAGAAATCTTATGGAATTGCCAAATCTGAAAAAGAAAAGAAAATGACTGATTTTACTCATGAAAATTGTGAAGAAAACTTAATTTAGCCCAAACATTCTACATGCATGCTTGCTGAATAGACAATTTAAAAACAAAAGCTTTTTTATTGCACAAATATAGTTACAAATATACAAGGTGGCAATAAAGTCACTATACACTTATCATAAAAAAGCAAAGCATTGAAGCATGTGACTTGCAGTTCCAACAGTATCAGTAATTAATTTACTATTGTTTACCATATGTTATATTCTGTGCTAAGGGAATAAATACTTAACACCAGGTGGATAATAGAAGAAAGGTTTATTGTACACAACCAGTACAATATAAAATACAGTACAGTTATACACATAGGTCAATCTAGTAGTGAGTGCCACTAACTGGAAGGTCAGACGTGCTTGCGTCTTCTTGCTCTCACTCTTTCTCCAGTCTCTCATAGGCAGTAGACTTTATAGGTACTTCCTATTCATGGGGGTGACTGGTTATTCATGGGGGTGACTGGTTATTCCATTACATCACCATAGCATTTTATTGTTATTAACCAGAACCATTTTAATTATAAATTTCTGGACTGTTGATCAAATTCTTTGTCTTAATTGTTATTGTAAGTAACTGTATAGTGACTTTATTGCCACCCTGTATATCTTCACATAGACAACACTTTATGTGTGTGTGTGCAGATGGATTCATCTGTTGAGAACAATGGATGAGGGTTCAGTAAATTCTAATTTTTCACTGAACAGCATGCACAAGTAAATTGTTTTAAATTAGTTAATTGCCTGTAGTCTGCAATACACCCACTCTCCATCCTAGCACCATATCCTGTACTGGTGCACTGTGTGCCACATGTCAGATGAGGCTACATTTGCAGGCTTTTTTGAATAGGAGTTTTCCATCTCCTAGCTGTTGGCTCCAATAAGAAGCTAATCTGCCCTTTGACAACCCTCTCCAGAATAGTTTGAATTCAAATTTTTGTTCTCCTAGACTGGTTGCCAACCAAGACTATAGGGACCAGTTTGTCCTGCTGCTTACCCTGTGGATGGGTGGAGATGGATTCATACCTTTCCCAAAGGTATTTGCACACAAGTGAATATAACAAACTGGACTGGAATTTGAACTAGGCTCTCTAATTTCTCATTTCGACCCATTATCCATTATACCACCCCTACATACAAGATTACAGCACCTGGTATTCCCAAGCAGTCACCCATCTAGGTACTGACCAGGCTCAATGGGGCTTAGCTTTGGTGATCAGATGAGAACCAATGTTTCAATGCTGTGTGTGTGTGAGAGAGAGAGAGAGAAAGTGTGTGTGTGTGTGTGTGTATATAAGTATCAAACATTGAGTGTTGGTTGTAATAAAACAGTAATGGTCATAATGGTCATTTGTTAGTATTTGGTTAATACTTAATATCACCATTCCTGTTTGTGTCTGACTGCACATGTTCACAAAGATGAAAAAAAACATTAATATGATTTCCTTTTATGATAACTGAAGTACCAAGAAAGTTTTCTTAGTATCTTCCAAAAATTCTTTAAAATTTTCTTTTTCTCCTAGAGTAATAAAAAAATCATTGTGTTATCATACACTTGATTTCATCAGAGAACCTCTTCTTTGGAAAAACCATTCTTCTGCTTTGCCTGTCTTCTGCCACACTATTCTACAATCATAACTGTTCAAAAAGCAACACAGTTGTCAGTATTTACATTTGGATTAATATCCTTATCTTTGTTGTTGTTATCACAACATTTCAGCCTTTTTCAGGTTATCATTGTCAGAAATTTGGTGTCTTATTAAATAGCATAATGATCCTTCTTTTATGTCTCATTAATCTGAGATAACTAATCAATTTCTCTCATTTTGTGCCATATCTCTTCAGGATATAGACAATAATAGCTCTCTACAGCTTCATTTTCTTTCATATCTGTAAACTGTGGATTACTATAATTATGCCTGGAAAAGATAGTGGAGTGGTTTCCTTTTTCCTTCTCTGTAGGTTTTAAAATTTTGAGTTCTAGAGTACACAGAATTTGGTACTATCTGCAGTTTAAGGCATTCACTGGGGGATCCTGGAACATATCCTCTGCATATAAAGAGAGAAACAACTGGAATTTGTTTTATTTTTTACTGAATATACTGATTTAATTTTTCAAGTAGTGCAGGTATCATAATGATTATTGGCACATAAAGTGAAATCGCCAAGCCAATTTCAAATTCTGGACTAATCTGTTGCATTCATTTTTGCACTAATTCCTCTGAGAAAAAGCATGAAAACCATCTCTTCTACTTTTTAAGGGAGGCTCTCTAGAATTCTGAATTCAAGAAGTCAATGGGGAGCCATTCCACTCTTCTTTCTCAAGATAATTGTAATTCAAAGATAATAAACAAAAGGGAATCCGTGGAAAGCCATGATCTTCATTCTGAAGCAATATGATATTAAAATATATGATACAGTAATGAAAATGGGTAAAATATTGTGGAACCAGAAAGTCCCCTTACAGCCTGTTATTGAGTAATATATTTATAAGGGCACTTGTGTGTGACTGAAAGTATTTGACCATGACAATGGCAGGAAGACAAATGGTTACTGTTATATACCTTGGTTCCTCCAACACCTCCGGTGAAAAGTTCATCTGTTACAGAATTGAATACCATGAATGAAGCTCCAATTGTTTCAGAGTCCATTGAATACACCTCTTCAAAATCTTTATTCAGTACCTAAGAGATACAACATGAAAATTAAGAATTACATATATTTAAGGTAGTGAAGGAAAGCAAGAAGAGAGGATTAAACATCAGTTACAAGACAGAATTCCTGGTTGTCAGCAAAAGGAACAGCCCAACATGCAAATTACAAATTGGAGATTCCAAAATCAAGCAAGTACAAATACAATGGAACCTCGGTTCACAAATTTAATTTGTTCTTGAAGGCTGTTCGTAACCTGAAATATTCATAAACCAAAACTATTTTTCCAATATGAATATTCTAGAGAAAAATGTTAAAGTACAATAAAATTGAAGAAAAAGCACAACACAACACAACACATGAATGTATACAACATGGCAGTAGACTCAGAAATGATTCCATTTGGGTTAACTCAGTTTGGCAATGTTTTTTGATAACTGAGGCATTTTCATCACAAATTTCCTGTTCAGAAACAGATTTGTTTGATATGTGAGACATTCGAGAACCGAGGTTGCACTGTATCTGGGAAATGTTTTAACAGAAGACAGAAAAGGATAACACTGAAATCTGAAGGTGCATTGAGATAGTAAAAGGTGCCTTCCAAAAGCTAAGCAAAGTATTAAGAAACAAGAAAATTTTGTTAGAAACAGAGAAAAGTGTACTGAACTGTTATGTAATATCAGTCTTATATGGCTGAGCAAATAGAAAAAAAGAACACTTATACTTAACATCAGAAAGAGATAGTTGAAATTTTTAAAGCATATGATGAGGAAAGAGGACTTGGAAAATTTGACACTGACAGGACATATTGAAGGCTAGAGGATAGCACAAACAGAATTTAGGAGAGATAAAAAAAGGACAAAATTTACTAAAAGCTGCAAAGGACAGGAAATTGTGGTGAACCATGATCATCAACATCCTGAATGAACATAGAAGAATTATCTTCAATGAGATGTGTGGGTAGTGTAACGGTTATTGGTGCAGAAAGTATAATTGGCAAGTACAGTAGAAATTCCAGCCTAATCTGTTGCATTCACTTTCACACATATGTTTTCAGGGAAATACATGAATCTATCTCTTATCCCCCCTCCCAACAATAGGTTAAATAACAGGGTAGACTGGGCTTTCTAGCAGCCAATCTAAGAGAATGACTACTCTGAATTCAACACTGTGGAGAAGGCAGCAGGAAAATACTCCACTATCTTTCCTAAGGAGTCATAACAATTCACTGATTATATAGTAAAGGAATTTATTGAGAGCCATGATTGTTTGCAAACTTAAAGAGGCCTAGCACAAAAAAGAATTACATTCAATAAAATTGTAAGAAAGTTTATTTTCTGTTTTGTTGAAAATGTTACATTTAACATTGGTTGCCAAGCTTGGAAGAAGGGTTAGTAAGTCAATCTGAAAGGCTGATATAACAAATTTACTTTGCATACATGTCCTCCATTGCTCCATCTTTGTGTTACTTGTTCCTACATCCATTTGCTCAAACTTTTCAAACCATTGTTTTCTTCTGCTTCTCTTGGCTTCAATATGTCTTGTGAGTGTTAAATTCTCCAAGCTCCTTTTCCTTGTTATGTGCCTCAATGATTACTAAATATCTATAATCAGTGAGTAACTAGAAAGCATTCAAAACGTGCATATTTCTGCCAATCCTCCCTCTTATGTGCTGTGTGTCTTCAGGATGTGGATAATATGTCTCTCCACAACTTCCTGTCCCTTGCTGTGCTCTTAGCATCTCTTTCCTCTTTATCACTGCTTTGTCATTCCATTCACATAAACTCATCAGGTAGTTTAGTAGCCGTTTCTCTCTGTGCCTCCTTCCTTCATTGTATCCTGTGAATGTTAAATTTTCCAAGCACTCTTTCTTCATAGTGTGTCCCAGGAATTTCAACTACCTCTTTCTGATTTTAAATATGAGGGTCTTTCAAGTTCCCATTTTTTTAGAACTTTTTCATTGCTTATGTGTTCTGTCCCTGGCATTATCAGTATCCATCTGCCTCTTCAAGTTGTCTGCAAGGAAATTGTCTGGCATCCATTACTATCATACAGGAGGATAGATATAACATAACAGTTCATCTCTCTTTGTTTCTAATGAAATTTTCCAGTGACTTAATACATTGCTTAGTTTTGAGAAAGCAACTTTCATTATTCAGATGTACATTCAGATGTTTGTGTTACACTTTCTGTCACCTGTTACTACACTATCCAGACAGTGAAATTTCTTTACTTGCTTGTTTCTAACATCTCCAAAGCTCACACCTTTGGCAAATCTCTTTTTATGATAATTTTTCTGTTGTTTTAAAGTTAATTGTTTGTCTTTCTCACTTTCCTTTGTTACCTTGTCTAGGAGTTTTTGTAATTTCTCCTCAGAGACTGCTATCAACACAGTGTCATCTGCAAAGCTATATTTATTTAGATTATGACTACAACATTAAAAACTGACTGAAAATTAGTTCATAGATAACTGTGTAAGTTTTGATTTTTCTATATATTTTGAACTATGAAATATCTCAATAAAAATTATTTTTGAATCCACTTCCAGATTTAATTAATTAGTTCTTGGCTCCTGGCCCACCCTTTCACAAAACAATAGTGAAATTAATTCAGATCTTTTGGAGGTATTGTGTAGACAAACATGGGTGAATAAATAACTCCCAAATTTCTTGTCTAATTGATAACAAAATCCAAGATACTAATTTTTTTTAATATATAATTATTGGATATGTGCAAAAAGAAAAAATTATTAAGACAAAGTGAAAAAGAATTTTCAATCACACAATTTCCCAATTATAGTTGTTATCATCAGATTGGAATGAGAGATAGACTTAGATGAGGAATAGGCAATAAAAATATTAGGTGCCATGACTAAATGATTGGTGATTTTTGTACCGAGATTGTTGTCACTTTTGAAATTTAGCCCAGTTCAAAAAACACTACCCAATATCAAACACTACTGAAATGTTGCAAGAGTAACAACAAATTTTGTAATATCCCAAAAATTTTATTGTGTTCCCACATCTTAACTAAATTAAAAAAAAAATATATATATATATATCTTTGTCATCATTGTTTATATAATATAGTGATTTTCAAAGCGTAGCTTAGATGTGGCACAATGCCGAAAGTATAGGGCACCCAGTGAGGATCAAACTCACTACTCAGTCATAATTGTTCAAGTGAGACAAGCTTGCTAACCATTACACTGCCTTGAGGTGCCCATGTTTATATAATATAAGGAGCATATGTGAATTTTTACTATCAGTATACATTATGAGATTATATGACATAAATTCTATATATCAGGCTATAGGTAAATAATTAAATGACAAAAATATTGGTTATAACTAAACATCAAGAGAAACACTGAAGATGCAAGGACAGCTTTACAAGAACAACTTTTAAGTTTCTGCCATCAGAAGTGTCCAGATATACAGCCTATCTGACTTCATTCGGCTTCTTACATATTTTGCTTTTATTGATGTTGTTTTTAAATGTCTTACATTGTAATAGCACTGGTTTTAAGAAAGGTGAAATGCTGTATGAACCTGGACATAAATTTACCATGAATTAATAAAAACTTGATGCACTTTCTATACATTTTCACCTTAATAAATTACTTCTTTAATTAAAACTGCATTTAAGTCAAAATTATGATCAAACTCAATACAATGAATAACTGATGTGCTGAGTGTGTTACTTTGTAAGAGATCTCTTTTACATTCACATACTTGATTAGTTAATTTCATAGAAGTTTTATGTGACTTTATATTGTAAATTCCAGAAGTTTCTTGTACTTTATACTGTAAATTCCAGGCTTTAGGTTGATATATGAAAATTAGGCTAAATAGTAGCTGGTCAAAAGTTCAAGACCATACCTAAAAGAAGTCCTAAACAGAGTAGGAAATGCCCAACAAGACATCTCAGTAGTGATCGCTTGGCCATCATTGTGAATATAAGTGTCTTTAGAAGGCTGGTTGGAATGTTATTCCAAGTGATAAAGATGGCTTCACAAAGATCATGCACTTTTTGAAATTGATGTCCATTTCTATAGACATCCCTTGCCATTCCACCCCCAAACATTTTCAGTTGGTTTCAGGTTAGGTGAACATGCAGGATGGTCCAAAAGAATCATGTTATTCACCATGAAAAAATCCTTTGTCCTGCAGGCATTATGGATTGCAGTGTTGTCCTGTTAAAAGGTCCAGTATTTTCACACAAGTAAGGTGACTTCAATCAATAAGGAGGCTCTCCCTCTTCAACATGCTAATGTAACCAGCCACGGTTTGAAGCCCCTGTATAACTTGAAACTCCATTGTTCATTAGAAGCTGATTATAATGGAACATTCTCTATTGTGTCATGCAGAAAATGTCTCCAGTGGGATATCCTTATCATGCCAATAACATTAGAAGCTATCTCAACCATCCATTTTTTCACATCAAAGAATAAAGCCTTCTTCCACTTTTCTATGTTCAAAGTTTGGCACTTCTCAGCAAAGTTTAACTGAACTGTTTTGTGGTTTGGAAGGAGGTATGGACTTATGAAGACATTTATAGTTTTAAAGTCTTTCGCTCTGAAATATCATCTTATTGTTCTTGAACTGCATTCTGTGTCCATAAGGAACTTAATTTGTTTTATTGAACAGTTGGTGTCTTGTCAGACTATCTGCTCAACACCAGTGAAAATTTCTTGGGCTGACCACTTGAAATTCTTGTTGTCAATCCCTCAGGGTCTTTTAAGAAATTTGCAACAGCAGTTTTACTACATCCAATCTCACCAGTGATCACACATTGAGAGAGATCAACTTTTTAGTATTTGCCATGTTTTTACTTAATGTAACATGAGATACCAGTGAGATATATTGACTGCTCTAATGATTGAACATAAATTTTGTTACATGTTTATCAATTAAATCTTTTTAAATATGGTCTTAAACTTTTGACCAGCTAGTATTTAGTCTAATTTCTCAATATTCAAATTTTCCCTATTAAATATTAAAAAAGTTTTTAATTTTTATTATTCCTTTCCTTATTTTTATTTTTCAATGATCTTCTTAAATAAGTGGTTGGGTCTAACAACACAAAAGGTATATTTTTTCTTTATTTTCATTGGCCTTAAATTTTTGGTCAGCAGTATATATATATATATATATATATATATATATATAAAGGAAGAGGTTATAGTTGTTCCAACGAGAGAAAAGTGTATATATTAAAAAGAAGAAACTGCAAACATTCTAGGTTGCAATGTGGATTTTTTTCAAAAATATATATTATGCTTTATTTTGCAACATGAGTTTTGGGTCTTGCGATCTTCTTTGGGCAAAGAGTGGATATTTCCACATATTATTAAAATGAATTAATTTCCCTAATGTTTTTCAATGTTAAACATTCTCAATGTTAAATATTCACTTTTTTGTGTGGTAGTGACACAAATATCTTTCTTGAACTGGCAGTGAGAAAGTTCTTAATTGTTCCATTACCCTTCAAGCAGACATGCCTAAAAGAGAATTTGCTGCCAAAAAATATATATATATATATATATATATATATATATATATATATATATATATATGTGTGTGTGTGTGTGTGTGTGTGTGTGTGTGTGTGTATATATTATAATTGAATTAGACAAGGAAACAGTTGTATTAAAAAGTGCTTGATACACATATAAAGAAAATAAAAATTTTACATGCAGAGTTTTTAAATTTAAAAATTTTTAGCAGATCAGGCAATCACTCTACCTTGGTTTCAACCTTTCAGTATTTTTAAGTGGTATGGACCAAAAAAAAAAAAAAAAAAAAAAAAAAAAAAAAAAGATTTTTTTAGTTTGGCTGATCTTAAGAAATTTAAAATCTTGAAGTCTTGAGTCCTTGCATACATATTAAAAAATTCCACTTAAGCACATATGACCCTGGATAAAAAAAAAATGTATATTTCAATTACCCCACCAACCGATACATTTATAATAGCCTTGCTTTTCTTCTCTTCCCACTTCTTCTTCCTTCTTCACATCCTCCTCTCCTCCTTTTCTATCACCCCCAATGTTGTGCATTTGTTTATTTATTTTTTTAAAAATAACATAGTGTTCATTAGATTTTTTTAAAAATAAAGTGTTGGGAGGTCAACTGATAAAAATTGCTTGAGGATACTGTAAGATTGAAACCAAGGTAGCAGATTCAACTGATCTCCTGATTTTTAAAGTTATATATATATATATATATATATATATATATATATATATATATATATATATATATATATATAGTTGAGAAATATTAAACATTAACAAATAATTTCTGCTTATAGAGGAAGAAGCCCTTTGCTAATACATATTTTCATTATCTCTTCTTCAGTCTCATAGACTTCAATGAGCAGTATGGGGTCAAGCTCTCAACAATACTAGGTGTTGTTACTGTTGTTTCCATAGCAAGTAAGCTTTTACAGAATGATATTGCTAGCCCCATGCCCAACTGGCTTTGTAGCCGGCTTTTGGTTACAGTGTACTGGTGTTCCCAAGCAGACTCTCATTTAAGTACTGACCGGACTCAACACTGCTTAACTTTGGTGACCAAAAAAGAACTGGTGCTTCAGCAGGATTTGAATATATATATATATATATATATATATATATATAAAAAAAAAAAAAAACTATAAAAAGGAAAAATGTTCAATACCTTACTTGACTCTTGTTCTTCTGAAAGCTTTATTAGTGAAAATACAGTTTATTCTTTAGAATTAAAATGTATTCCTTCATTAAAACAGGTAACTATAGCCCCAAAAAGTCTATGGAGTCAATCTAGAGGATTTGTTGTTGTTAGTCTCAAACTTAATGAAAGACTATATTTAGCCATTCGCCAGATTATTATGAAAGACTTGTGCTGTGATGTGGTGCTGGGGAGGGATTTTCAGCATCAGCACCAGAAAGTTATTTTTGAATATGGCAGTCATCTTACTGAACTGGTTATAAGAAATACAGGAACATGTTATGTTTTAGAGGCTGCAGAGATGGAGGATCCTACATTGTTCTCAAATATAATATCTATATTCAAACTGGCAGCTATGAAATCTAGACACCTTAGTCAAGAAGACCAGAAATTTATAGAGAATTTATGGAGATAAATAAACTTTTAGCTAACAAAATTATCAAACCAAGTATTTTGCCATGGTGCATCCAAGTCATAGTTGTTAAAGATGAAACCAGAAGGCACAGGAAGAGATTATGTGTGGATTATTTGTAAACAATATATACACTGAACTGGATGCATATGCCCTTTGCCTAGGATTGATCTAGTTACAAAGCTTGCCAAATACAAGTACTTTTCAACCTTTGGGTTAAAAAGTGCCTATCATCAACTTAAAACAATCCAACAAAATGTACACTACTTTTGAGGCCAATGGTCAACTATATCAGAAACCAATTGAGTCTCTGCCTTTCGATGATCAATATCATAAAAGAAAAATAAACCTTAAAGGTATTCTACCTCATCTTGATAATATTATTGGCAGTGAGACTAAAAGGAGCATAAGAATTTAAATGAATTTCTGAAAGTCATAACGAAAAAACATTAACCTTAAATGCTGCTACAACTATTCAGAAGGTAACAACACTGAATATTTTAGTAAGTCAAAAATAATTTCTTCTTTAAAATCCAGTCAAGTAATCATTGAATTAACTAATTTTTATTGAATTTTCTATTTCCTTAATGGTCACTTTTTTTGATGATTTTTAATTGAAATTTCCAATTATTCTATTAGACATAAATCATGGCATATAAAAAACATGTCCCTTCAGGACATAGATGATCATGGTCCTCTACACATTGTAATTTTTTTATTATTATCAGAGAATTGCCATAACTTTTTGTAGAAGATAGAGCAGTGGTTTCCCATTATCTTTGGCATTCAGAGTTTACTTTCTCTTTCTTTGCGACTCAAAGCAAGAGAGCAAAGTTTCCCTGCTATTTAACCCATATTTGGGGAGAGAAGAAGTGGATTCAAGCCTTTTTAAGAGTATTTGTGTGAAAGTGAGTGCTGTAGCCCAAACTGAACTTAGCTTGCTGAGCCCACTTTCTGCAACAATAACCACTACACTACTCATACATCCCCAAATCATTGGCATAATTGAAGATAATTTTTGCTGAAAAGAAAAAAAAGTTGACATCAAAAGCAGTCTAAAAGGGTGCTGAAAAGTTCAGCCCAGCCAAGAAGTGATAAAAAAATCTTGATGTTAGATTACTTGGCCAGTTTTGAGAAGTGAGTTTGAATAAGAACATTTCAGCACCACCTCATAATCCCTTATTTTTTATTCTTTTACAATTAACCTTATGCTATTTTCTTACAATAAAACAAAAATTAAAACTTTAAAAGAAGATATTAAATTATTGAGATACATTTTTAAATTTTTATAAAGTCCTGATCGAGGTATCAAAAATATTAAAAATTGTAGATATGATCAATGACTTTGATTTGTATTGTTTTGATACTGACCAAGCTGTGATGAACAACATATGAATTATACCATTTTATTCAGATATATCTTGAGATTATATATGCAAAATATGACATCTGCTCTACACTCTTAGGCATGAACATAAACAGAGCAGGGATGGATAGGATACAAATCCTATATTCCAGCAAATGACTAAAAAAACACAAAGTACATTTGCACACCTACAAAATCGGATCAAAACGACCAAAAAAAGATTTCACAATAAGGTGTGAAATTAATTTTCTGACCAATGAAAGGAGGCAATTTGCTAAACCAAAAAAAAGATAACGAGCCAGTGTGAAAAAAGTCAACAATAAATACAGTTTTCAAGTCAGTCGCCAGTCAGTCAGTCAGAGAAGGGCGCAAAAGATCACAGAAGATTGACAGTAAATTCCATCACTGACTCAACCCGAAAAGTGGAGTAGGAAGGAACAACAACAACAAATTTACAACTGGCTTCAAAACAATTCATAAGTACATTTTCCTTTTATCTTTATTCCACATTCACACTCTTTTTTTCAACTTAAATTGCTCGCCCCCTTTTCATTTTACAACTATACAAAACAAAAGAAACAGACATTATTCTGCTACTCTGTTAAAGACAGCGAACACAGACATTTTTATCAAAATCACATTTTTGCTTAAACGAACTAAAATATTAATCTTTTTTACCCTATTCACAAGATAATAAATATACAATGTTCTATTTTTTATAAACGTTCCTTATCGTGTTGTTTCTTAAATGATTATGTACATATATATAACAACTACTTACCTTCACAATAAAATCCTTATCAAGCACAAAGTAACAATTATATTTCTTGACATACTGCAGTAAAGTAATGACCCGATGTTCATATTTTGGATAGAGAAGGACTCGTTCAACTGTAAGATCATAAAAAATGAAGAAAAGGAATCAAATAAAAGTATTTTTGAATAGTTTTCTGATTTGATTCATGTCACATAATACATTTGTTTGTAACAGAAAGATTTCATTAATACCTCAACTATTTTTTTACTTAATGAACATATTTGCATACATTTGTCTGTAACAAAAACATTCCATTTATACCTCAACCACATTTTATTTAACTGATCTACTGTAGAAAGAAATGGCAACCTACTGCGGGAAAAAAATCTGCCTTGTCGGTCATGTATAAAAAGATACATGATTGTCTAAGCGTGTATCATGCATGGCACATAACTGGACTGAACTGAAACAGAATCATTATGAATCTGTAGACTATGGATCCATAGTCCGTTATCCCTGGAATAATTTTCTTTCACGAAATAACTGAAAACATCAGATATTCATAAACCTTGCATATCAATGATGATTGTACAAACGATTTTATTTTTATTAACACATTCCATGCCAGCATTGATATTTGAAAGTTTATCTTTTTGTGACTTATTAGAAATTGCCGAGTCAAATAACAGAAAGCACATCACTTGAGGACTTTCAGCAACAACAAAAATGAATACCACATGTAAACCAAAAAAAAAAATAATGCCAATCAAGATGTTGATATCCACACTACTTCAAACAAAAGGTTAGAAAGGAAACCCCCTTCAATACTGGGAAGAACAATAACAGTTACAACACTTGAGAAACCGATTTTCCTGAAAAATTGTTTCATGAGAAAGAGTTTATAAATTTCAACTGAAAGCAGTACTGGCTGCTCAGTCAATAAATGTCCTTTTTTTTCATAAGGAAACCATGTCCTGATATTACCATTACCATATAAGAATACTTATTATTTAAATTTATAAACACATTCACCATTACCTTGACTATTTGAACCCTTCCAGGACATGGATGATCATGGCTCTCCACAACTTTCAGTCCTTTGTAGCTTTCAGTATAGTTTGTCTTTTATTATATCTCCTAATTCCTGTTCTGTCAACCATTTACACAAGCTTGTTAGGTTGGTTATGCACTGATTTCCTCTGTCCCTCTTGCTTCCATCATGTCCTGTGAGTGTCAACTTTACCGAGTCCTCTTTCCTCATTATGTGCCTTTTAAATTTCAAATTTCTCTTTCTGATGCTTTTGTATCCTTTTTGTTTCCATTTTCTCTAAAATTTCATTGTTGTATCACATGTTCAGTACATGTTATTCTCAGCATCCTTCTGTAGAGCCACATTTGTTGTCCAAAGTCTCTTCCTCTGTGAGATTGTCCAGCATTCATTGTTATATAGTAGGACTGATATTATTTAACAGTTCAACACGATTTTCTTTGATTCTAACAAAATTTTCCTGTTTCTTACTACTTTGCTTAGCTTTTGGAAGGCATTTTTCACGATTCCAATGTCCCTAAATGGAAATGATTGAGACAAAGTAGTGATGAGATGGTCCGGCATTCAATGTGATATAGGTGTACTGATATTATATTTCATTAGTTATCAATGAAAATTGCTTTAAAAAATGATTTATGCTTTATTTTGGTAAATAAAAATTTATTAAGTTGTAAGTAATGACACTGATGTGTGTCCTTAGCACTGGCTTTATTTTGTTTCCATAATACCATGTGACATGTGTTAGAGATAATGCACAACATGCCACAAAACACTTGTGTGTTATGTGGTAGTGAATTTCTTCCAATGGCATATACTGAACAGATTGTAAAAACAGTTTAATCTATACTCAAAGACTGTCATAAATGAAAAATAAAGAATGAGATTAGATAATCAGATTGTATACTCATCTCATTAAATTGCTATTCAGTCATATTGAGACAGCTTGACAACCATTAATATAACTTCTTTTTCTTATGCTAAAGAAGATTACATTTCAGTTCTAAAACAAATCAGCAGCTGTAACAAAGAGAAGAGCTTTAGTGAGTGCAATCAAGCAAGACAAAAGCAGCATTCATCAGCAGGCAGGTTAGGTTTAGGACTCCAAATTTTCCACAGAGAATTGTCCTACAAGACAAATAGAGGTTCACCAGGTTAGTCCTCAGAAGCAAACATTTCAGTGACTGAAAACTCCTCAAAAGATGACTTGTCGGGAAAAGAGACAGTGATTATCCCATTAAGAAGTGCAAGAATAAAGAGGCCCACTCTGGGTTGTCAGCTGTGTAATCGTGAGATCAGATGAGAGTGTAGCTATGGAGAATACCAAATATTCACTTGAAAAAGAATTTGTATTCTTAGTGGTGTCAAAAAAGAAGATCAGAATCAAGATTATGTTGACTTTAGTATGACTCAAAATATAGTAATTGTTTACACTTCCCTGTGTTATATTAAGTGTATGGTAGCAAGCAAAAGGAGTAAGGTTGAAGATATATTTTGTGAAAAAAAAACAAGGAAGATATATACAGGAGAACAATACAAATAGAAGTCCATTCAAGAAAGAGTTCTGAGGTTTGCAGTTGAAGTTCATTTAGACGAAGTCAGAGTGGGAGGATGGTAACTGATGCTCAAGTTTGGCTTCATGTGAGTGTGTGGACAGGAAGCCTGGAAGTAGTGATGGTGGGCGGTAGGTCTGCTAAGGGAAAGTGTTCTTGTGGGATGAAGCGAGCAAAGAAGCCGCTGACTGTTGAAGTCACTGATGAGACAAGAAAGCACCCTCTTTTGTAGCCTGTGGGGTTGTATTTATATTATTTTGGTGAATCAAAAAGGCATTCGTGCCCTCAGCTTGTGGTACCTTCCGATTGAATAAAAAACCTTGTTTGTCACGTGACTACTTACCACTATGTCCACCAGTCAGTAACCTTGAGATGACCTGTAGACTGTTTTAGTTTTTGACCATAAAGAAGGATCCATGAATCGCAACAAGATTTGGCTTAGAGTATAACATTTGCCAGTCTTGACCAAACACAACCCAATAAAATAATTTTCCTTTGGACCACAGAATTGCTTGGATCTTCATGGGTGAAGAGGTAGCTGTATGTTGAGAGTTGTGATGTGAATGAATTTTTTTTACCCTTTTGATTTACGCCACTGACATTTTCTGGCATTGGACTTGCAAAACCGATTTTTGACCCTTGGAATTACGACCCCGGACTTATGATTTCTTTAGATCTGAACCTTCCTATTGGTATTTACCTCAAATTACTTTTCAGTCCTGAAACCAACTCTATAATACTAATTTTTCAAGCACTTTTAGGGACATGAAACATCAGCAAGAGTTTATGCTGTGTTGCCAAAGCTGATCATGTCAGTTCACCTAAACCCCAGTTGGAGACATGACAGCTAAAGGATAACACATTCATGCTCTGTTCAAACTGATAATTCATGTCACCTTGCCAATGACTCATCAGATGTCAGGATTGAAGAGATGTCTGGCTGTTCCCATCAAGGTATGGTAGGGACACCTAACATTACATTTAAGCACTGATATCTCATGACATGTCAATATACTTGAAAATTCATAAAATTTCAATAAATAAACTATTAAAGAATTTAAGAAAACATCACAAAATAGACAACTTTTAAAATGATAAAATTTTATTTATAAATTGACATTTCAAAGAATTTATTGCTGATTGTAAATAAAAAAAAAAGAAGGTAATAATGAAATTCCAAAAACTAATTGGAAGCAATGACTTATTGAAGACAGAGGATATAATTTACCTTTCAACCCAATTCTGTCAAGTTTACAGGTGACAATTCCCCGAGTGTCAAGAATCACAAATCCTCTCAGGCGACTGTTGTAGACAACTAGGTGCAAAAAAAAGAAGAAAAAAAAGACAGGAAAAAATTTAAATAAATTGCTCTGGAAAAAATTATAATAAAGTGTTCAAACTCCTGAACAAGCCAGAGGCCCAATCAAGAGGCCCTCTGCAGGAGCTAGCTTAAATGCCACCTGACAGGGCAGCTTTTAAGCTAGTGTTAAATAAATCTTTATTACAGGGGGCAGCAGAAATATATACCTTCTAGAAATACCTCCCACATAATGGTTTTCATCTAGCTAATGTCATACCATTATGTAGGAGCTATTTCTGCCACAATCTATAAAAGGTAAATAATAAACATTGTATTTCACTTGAATTACATATTTTATAATTTTGTAAATAAATATTGCTAAGGGAGTCAAAAGTGTATTCAGTAATAGCAATGTCAACTGTCCTTTTGACACAGTTTTTTTTACAGACAGGAAGGTTAAACACTGCCAAAAATCATTCATTGGTCATCAAACAAATAGCACAATGGAAATAGCTTCTGCTTTCCTGAGAAACTGCATGTAGTAGTAGTAGTAGTAAAGGAAAAGAGGAATTAGTAGAAATAATGATGCTGAATAAACATACATGACAAATTGAATATCTTTTTTATGAAAAAAGAAAGAATAAAGAATTGAAAAAAGAAAAAGATACCATTCTGAATAGATCATTGTAACTATGATAGGTTAGGGTGAGTCTTTTAATTATGTTCAATGTAATTGATCTTCTAAGTAGTAAATAAAGAAGTTTATTTTCATTTCGTTAAGGTCATTAAAATTCCAACTTGTTTTCTATCAAGTTGGCTCTTAGCATTTATCAAGTTTGTCTTTAAATGATTGAGCCCTTTTATATTAACAAAAACAAAAATCTGTCTATATTTCTGAGATGAGGTATTATGTATACTATATTCAGCAATACTGTCATGTGTGAGATCTCAATGGCAGTGTTTTGAAGTAGACAGTCACTATTGCCCTTGGTAGACTATTTTTGTTTTTACACTATTTACATTATTTGGACTATTGTCCTCCTATTTGTCGCCATATTTATTACAACTTTTCGGCCGTTGTACACTCCAGTGTTCTTCAGGTGGTTGGAATGTCAAAACTGAACCCTTTATTTTGCTCACTGGGGTAGACTGTTCTAGTTCCACAAAAACACATGGCACAGTGGATAAAGGCGTTGGTTAGATCCAGTGACGGGACACAAAGAGTTGTGAGTTCAATACCTGGTTAAGGTGGTGGAGAACTTGGAGAGGGAAATTAACAGGAGATAACTGATAACTGACATCCATTAGACATGGCACGCCGGGCTATGCTGCTAGTATTCAATAGGATTTTATACTTTCCTGACAGACTTCATATAACTTACAAAACTACTTCACAAGTTTCTAAATTATAGAAGCTTAAAATAACAGTTATTCCTATCATATGTGATTCAATAAATATTTCTTTCAGATACAAATTCTATGTTTAAGATTAAAAATAGTGTTCTTAGAATAAGCAAAATTAATACTTCATATGTGATACAAAGTTAACCAGAATGTATATTTATACAGACATTGCATAAACAAATTTATTCTATTCATATTTAACATTTAATAAAAACCACTATTCTTTTTTTTAAATTTCACCACAAGGCAAAAAAGCCACCAAGATGCAAGGGGTTACTGACCATGAAAGAATATAAGAAAAAGCAAAACAATATGGAGTGAAAACAATAAAAGAACAGAAATTAAGAAGATAGAAGATAATGACTGACATTGCATTTAAATTTTTGAAGATCAAACTTGACTGGAAAGCAAGAAGCCAGAAGAGAGTTCCACAAGGGAGAAGTGCATGAAAAGAAACTGTTAGCTTAGAACAATAGCCATCTGTAAAATGATGAGACCTTACTGCCAATCTAGTACTGCACTTACATTCATACAGTCTAGTTACCATAGAGAAAAGTTCATCAGAACAATTATCATGAAAGTATGTATTTATAGAAATGGCACAGGGAAACTACATTACAGAAGTGGAAAGTTACTGAAGTTGAGATGCTAGGTCAGGATCAATAATATTGCCAATTCTTCTTTGAATTTTATCAAGAATTTCTAAATATATAGCAGGAGCACCGGATCACATGTGACAGCAATATTGTAAAGATGGACAAATAGCAGACTTATAAATATGTAAGATAGATTTGAGTGAGAAAAATTATCTAGAATGACACAGAGAACCAACTTAGCAATTAATTCAATATAATCTTTCCATGTCAGCTGAAAACATTAGCCCAAGAAAGCGCTACAGGTCACTCTCCTGATCCTGGAGGTTAGCATCAGCCATGCTGATGGAAGGCAGAAAGGGTTCTCTAAGATTATTAATAGAGAGCAGTTTCGTTTTTGGAGGCATTAATATTAACAAGCCATTCTTTGCTCCAGTTAACAACAGAATGTAGGTCATTTTTTTAAAATCAGTAGCTAATTTGACCTTATTGAACTGATCAGACTTATTAAATAAAAAAGAAAAGAAAACACATTACAATGCTTTATACTAAAGGAATGCATTTCACTGTCAACATGGATGCAGAATATACTGACTGCATCTCTTATGGAGGAAAAGACACACTTCACAAGCTAAAGCCAATCCAATGTACAAGAATTGTTTGATTTCTAAACAGGGCAGATTGTTGGTCAATCTAAAACTGAAAGAACCTAGAATCAAATGGCATTAAATTTGGAAATTCAACTGAACAACAGTCACATAAATGAATGGATAATCATGTTTTTATATGAAAGGGCTCACCTACCTACACACAGACACACACTGTAATTCAGGGTAATGTACACTTTTTAAATAAAATATAACATCTAAAAAAAAGAAAAGTAAATTAAAATACTTCCTGTTTGTTATACACAAAGAGTACATATTGCTAGACTACCTGTGACCCGTTAGGTCACTGATGGTTCAGGTTATAAAACATTGAAGTTGATTTCAACATACCATTGAAATGAAAGTTTATTTTATTATGGATATCCACAAAATAACATTTGGAGTAGTAAGAAAAGATATGAGCTCATCTCTTCTACTCAACTCTCTAGCTGTGGTTGGCAACCAGTCTAGGAGAACAAAATTAAAAACTGGCAAAGCACAAACTATGTAGTTATCAAAAAGATCATGGACCTCACAGTGGCAATATAATCACAACTGTGATTGCTCTTATATATATATATATATATATATATATATAGATATAGATAGATAGATAGATAGATAGATAGATATGCTGATACAATTGTATGATTCAGTTAAATATTTCAATTCGTTCATGTCCTCATTTATCTGGTTTATAAGTTCTTGTTTAACATTTTAGTCATTGTTTATAGCATTTAATAGGAATAGAACTTCCGGGATAAACTTGAACTGCAGTAACAGCATATGGCATCTGTAAACACTCGCATAAAATGCAAAACAAATTGTTATATTACTGTATAATTAAACAACTTGTATTTTTTAAATCTTATTCGCTTAAAATATTTTTTAAATCAGATTAACTTAAAAACATTCTTTTTAATATGCCAAGAAATATTTTTTTAAATCATATTCACTTGAATTTTTTTTTAAATATGCTAAAAATTATTTTTTAAATAATTAATATATTATCTGTTTGTTTACTTTAAAGAAAACTAAAATATGAATAATAACTCTCTACAAACAACTGAATGAAACAGCAAAGTGGGATATCTTTGTGTCTGTCTTTAACTTAAAGATATTTTAATTGAAAAAATTGTCTGTTTGAAGGAAGTTAAAATAGAAATACTTACTGTATAAACAACTCATATTTTTAAATCTTATTCACTTAAAAAAATTTTTAAATCAGATTAACTTCAGTCATTATGCGCCAGATGCACACACCATACAAGTATGACAGACTTTTAGTATTATATAGATAAGTAAGTACAGTTTATATTACTATTATAATATAAATTCTTTTGCTATAATAATATTTAGAATTCTAGGAAAAAAGATGAAAGTTATAAATTTCCATAATTTGAAGGGTTTGATAATAGTGAATTTTTTTATAATAGTAAATTTGCTTTTTTTTTCTTTAATATTCGCTCAATACAAGGCTCAAGAGCCACTGAAGGTAGAGGGTTACTGAATGAGGTTGTTGTATGACAATAAGAGGAGGGACTATGTACAGATTATGAGTATATGTAGGACAGATAATGGTTGACTCTAGACTTCAAGAGATTGTAATGATCAGGGAAGCATCCTTTCTAGAGCATTCTTTCTTTGTGGTTTAAATTTGAAAAGTTTTTGTTTTGAAAGTGTGGTGGGCCTAAAAGAAAAGGAAAATAAAATCAGTGAGCTGAGTTCAAATTTGGGTCAAGAGAGATTTTGTTCAGTCTTCTGTCCTTTGGAAAGGCAGGTAAAATAGCAGGGCAAACAGGTTTCTCTAGCCTTAGTAGATAATCAGGCTAGGGGAAGAGCAACTCTGAATTCAAAACAACAGGTGGATCCACTCCTTCTCAGAGCTAAGAATAAAAATACCAAAACATAGAAGATGTGGTAGGAGTAGGGTCTAACACCTTACAAAGAAAAACTGACATGATTTAGCCAGCAAGTTGAAGGACTGAATGAATTCAGTATTCAGGATCTTTCTTTTGTTAAAATATCTCAAGTATATAATTTTAGCTTAAAAACAAGGATGTCTGTGTTATATGCAGGTGAATGTTATACAGTATGAAATATGGTGTTAGTGTACGTGTCTATGTGCGTATATATACACCCACAAAAAAAAATAGGTAAATCAATAAATCTAGCATCATTACCTGCCATGATATCTGCATTTGTCTTTTCATGCTTGTATTTATTTTCTAACTGGAATCCATAAGTGACAGATGTATAAAACTCAGAAATCAGCATTTCATGTTGCAACTCAGCTAATACATCTTCAGACTCGTTTTCCTGCTGGAACATCTTTAAAGAAAAAAAATTATTTAATAATTAATACATTTGTACCATTTTTTTTCCCCACTAATGTTCACCTAACACAAGGCTTAAGAACCACTCAAGGTAGAGCGTTACTGAATGATGTATGTGATATGAACATAAGAGGAAGTAGAAAGTGAAAATTATAAGGGCTCTAATCTGGAACTAGGTATTTGTTTCCATACATAGGACTTGATACTTAAAAATTCTGTAAAAAGAAGTATAAAAATTGAAATTAATACTTATTCAGTGGATAAACCAGAAAATAGAAGAAAAAAATCACTGCAGTTATAGTTTAGAGATTTGTTTTTTGTATTCATTACTAATACAATAAAGATGTGGAGGTGGTGTAATGCTTAATGGCTCAGAATGAGAGATTGGCAAACTGATTTCAAATTCTGGCCAAGTTCATTACCTTCACTTTTACACAAATACTCTTTGGGAAAAGTATGAATTTTTAAAGAATCAATGGATGCAATGATAACAGCAAAATTGCAATATGAGTACTGGTAAAAATGATGCTGAAAACATTAGGTTTATAATACTCAGAAGGACACATGGCACAGTGGATAAAGGTGTTGGTTAGATCCAGTGACAGACCCAAAGAAGGTGAGTTCAATACTCAGTTAAGGCAGTGGAGAACTTTCAGAGGGAAAATTAGCAGGAGATAACTGATATCCATCAAACATGGAACGTGGAACTAGAACAGTCTACCCCAGTGATCGAAATAAAGGGTTCAGTTCGAAATTCCAACAACCTTGGAGCGTACAACGGTCGAAATGTTGTGACAAATATGACGACAAAGATGAAGACAATAGTCCGACTAATGTAAATACTGTACATAATACCTCATCTCAGAAATATAGAAAGACTCCGGATTTTTTTTATTTGACAATATTTACTACTACTCTAAACATTATTTTGTGTGGATACCCATATGTTTGGGAAAACCAGTTTTCTACCAGTTGGCACAATTGAGAGACTTAATAATGAAAATGTGCTCTCCAGTAGGGTTTGAAACTTTAAACTTTGAAACCATTGTCTGATCTGGTATACTTTAGACAGCTTGGTCACAGAGAGTGTTAGAGCCCAGAAAGGTTCAATTAATTTTTTAGATGTGCAGACTGGTAGATGTAATTCACACTGTTTAAAAAAAACAAAAAAAAAACAGGGTGGTCTACTCAAACATGGGTATCCACAAAATAACATTTGGAGTAGTAAGAAAAGATATGAGCTCATCACTTCTACTCAGCTCTCTAGCTGTGGTTGGCAACCAGTCTAGGAGAACAAAATTAAAAACTGGCAAAGCACAAACTATGTAGCTATCAAAAAGATCATGGACCTCACAGTGACAATATGATCTCAACTGTGATTGCTCTTATATATATATACATATATATATATATATATATATAAGGCAGGAAGTGTGTGTGTGTGTGTGTGTGTAACGAATGTATACCCGCAATTTTCAACGGATTTGCACCAAAATTTACATGCAAATGCTCCAAGTTAGCGGGAAGGCCAAGGCTGACTTTGTATTTCCCAACTCCCATCGATAGTGGAATTAATTGTTCTTTTCATGCTTCTACAGCAGTTTTCATGTAGTTTGCGGCCATTTTGTACTGGCCAGAGTGAGAGCCTATAGCTGGCTGCCACGAATAGGCAGGAAGATTCTATTGGCCAGCGTAAGAGCCAACAGCTGAATGACATGAATGTTAACTAGCATGCAAAAAAAAAAAAAAAAAATCGATAGCTGCTCATTCGCTTGGTTAAACTCAACGTTGATTCTGATTACACAGAGTATTTGTTGCTAACATTCTTTTTTCATTTGGTTTTTCCAGTTACAAGTCCTTTTTTAAAGCTGACCTTTTTGTGTTCATTTTGTTTAGTTCTTTTTTTGTAACAGATTTAATGTTTAGTATAGAGCTTAGAAAAAATTCACAGTGTGAGATAGGCAAGAAGGCATGTAGCAACATCAGCATGGCAAAGGGCACTCCTTTAAAGGCAAGGAAGGGCAAAAATATTTTAAGTCAAGTGATAGCTATTGCTGTATGAATCGTATGATTTTTGAATCAAGCATGGGCAATGCTGGGCCATGCTGCTAGTATATATATATATATATATATATATATATATATATATATATATATAGATAGATAGATAGATAGATATACTGATACAATTGTATTAAATCCAGTGCTCTGTAGTTGGGCATATTTTAAACCTGACTATATTAGTTTGTGGCTCTGCTAGAAATTTTTTTAAATATAGTTTCAAAATGCAATTTAAACTAATTTCTTTTCTGTGATGTATTTTCAGGATATGGGGGTTCATGCCTTTTCACATCTTGTCTTTTGTTGTTTTAAGTAACCTCAACCTCTTTACCATCCTTTCTCTTTGTTTTGTCATCCATTCACATAAACTCAAATAGATTAATTGCTGTTTCCCTCTTCCTTCTCTTGCCTTCAATATGTTCTGTGAGTATCAAATTCTCCAAGCACTCTTTTCCCATTATGTGTCCTAATAATTTGGCTGTCTCTTTCTCATTGTAAATTTAAGTTTCCTTGTAGTTCTCATTTTTCTTAAAACTACCCCATTGCTCATATATATTCAAAGGATAATTTCATCATCCTTCTGTAGAACGACATTTCCATTAATGCAAGTCTTTTCACCTGTTAAGTATTCCTTACCATATAGGATATCAGATGTTGTATAAAATATGTAGATATTGTACACTACTAAAATAGTCAATTTCTTTCTAACATATATTTGGTCCAACAATGGTTAGGTTCAAGATTGTGGAATTAGAAATATACAACCTGTACTTTTGTTAAGACCTGCTTATCTGACCTTATTTATTTATTTAGTTATTTTTTAAGCAAAGCAAGAGTGTCACTAGCATGCAGGGGGTTACAGATAGTGAAAGTGAGAGAAAAGAGTGGGCGTAGGGAGGATTGAGGAAAAAAAAAAGGACAGGGATCAAGGCAATAGAAGATAGCAATTGATGTTGCATTTAAATTTTTGAAGAGTTATCAGGGAAGCAAGTGAGAGGAAGGGAGTTCCAATGTCAGGAAATACGAAGAAAGAAACTGTTGGAGTAGAAGTGACAGTTACATTTAATGTTTTCAACAGTAAATGGGTTGGACCTATATGCTAATCTAGTAGCATGCTTAAAAGGAATTATTTAAAATATGATTCTCCCAAGATTAAATTTCCCATGATTGAATAATATCTCACTTCCTTATTCTAAACTGAGCAAACTGATCATTTTGTAGAAAACTGTAAGTTGTTATTAATATGCATTATTCAATGTTTGTGTTGTGGAGTAAATAAGACATCCCCAGTAACACAAATGAACTAGGTAAGATGCCTTAAATAAAGAACTCAAAGTGAATCAGAGCAGTCCATTGGAGTGAGTTGAGGAGAATTTATAATGATATCATGGCAAGTAGCCTAAGTGAGACATAATATTATAACTGATAAGAGTGAGTTATAACAGTGGAGACAAGGGATTGAAACCCATACAGAGTAGGAACAGGGCTGGTGCATCTTACCTCAGACTGGTGACATTTTTTTCAGCACTGTTATGTAGCCATCCAACATTTTTTTAAACTGACATTGTCAGCCATCAGTTAATAATATACATTGTGTATCTGCATGGTAGGTGTGATGTGTACTACGCAGGAACCCTTGATGAGGTTGGAGCCCTAAAAGGGCTAGTTTTAGCAGCATTTTTTTTTTGCTTTTTGTACTTTTTTCTACCTAAGTTATACTATCAATCATCAACTATAATAATCGACAAGGCCAGTGCTTACTACCCCAAACCTTTGAATCACATGGGGGCACCATGTCTACTGGTGAGTGGAGGCAGAAGTGCTAATTTCAGGAGCACTTATTTTTTCTAAATTGTAATTTTCTTTCTGAACAGTTCTTTTAAACCAATTAAGAGGGTAATATATTTTGGTAAAATCATTTTTTATTCTGAGATCATCCACAAAGGAAGATCTCCGATTTTTTTTTTTTTTACTAATAGTAATACTAACCAGAAGTCCATGGCTAGTAATTAAAATAAAATTTCTAGTCCCTATTTTTTATACTTCTAGAAAGATAAAACCGAGAAAATGGTCACTTAAAAAAATAAAACTGTTTAAAGTTTTCAATATATGAAAAATTTTCCTGAAAACTGAAATACTATTTTTAAAACAAATTTTTAAGACAATCCTCTTTGTGTTGTGTTGGAATCTTTGTTAAACTTTTTTTTTCAGCAGTGATGTGTCAGTGATTAATCTTTATTTTTTTGAGTAAAATTTAGTCATGAAAATATTGGTGGTTATTACAAAAAGAATAACTCAAATTTGTTAAAAATAAAATACCTATTCATTATAAAATGAATATGTACTGAAATTTTCATTTAAATTGGATAATTCTCTGATATTTGGTAATTTAAAAAAAGCACTGCTCTCCCAGCCAATTTTCTTTCAAGGTTTTATGACCCCCAGGTTAGGAAACTTTGAAATTGACATGTAGTAGAGAGAGGGGGCATATCAAAGTTTGGTGGGGGGGCTAAGACCCTAACACTGGCCCTGAGTAGGAAAAAGTACTTTTTTCTTTTGGCGCACATGATGAAAGTGACAATGAGAAATTAGAAACACTTTGGTTTAATATTTTTCTTTGGTGTGTGTAAAAAAAAAAAAAAAAAAAAAAAGAAAAGAAAAGAAAAAATCCAGATATTCTTTAAGTAAAGAAGAATTATTAGTCCAGGTGGTAGAAATACAGTACCAGCAGCAATAACAGCAGTTGTTGGAACTCCAAAAACAAAATTTAATTGAAATAATACAGAAAAAGAC